TTCCAGAACGTGGCAAAGGAGGGCATCAAATTTGACGAGAGCGACGCGGCCAAGGAAAAGCGGGAGACCCTGGAGAAGGAGTATGAACCTCTTACCACTTGGCTGAAAGACAAGGCCCTGAAGGACAAGGTAGAAATTCAGTTATTTTATCAAATACAGACCAAGGATAAATGAGTAGCAGCCATAGTATTGCTGGAGTTGCTTGGTTACGTCTGTTCCATCAGCCTCATTATTTCATATCCTTGCATTTTCCCCACAGATTGAGAAGGCCATCCTCTCTCAGAGGCTGACCAACTCACCCTGCGCTCTGGTTGCCAGTCAGTATGGCTGGTCAGGAAACATGGAGAGGATCATGAAGGCACAAGCTTACCAGACAGGAAAAGACATTTCCACAAAGTTAGTAATGATGATTTTTGCTTTCCGACACTATGTGCTCATTGTCACAGTTGTGAAATCTTAATCCAGGACATGTTTTCAGTCAGCCTGACTTTTTAAGTTTGTGTAGTAATTCCTCTCTCTCTTTTCTTCAGCTATTACGCCAGCCAGAAGAAAACATTAGAAATCAACCCTAAACACCCTCTTATCAAGCAGATGCTCAACAGAGTCAATGTAAGTCTCACTACTATAATTGAACTATTTTAATTGTGCTATATTATGTGATCTGGGAAATAATGTGTTGCTTTTAGAAAAGCAGGAGTCATAATGTTTCTCATCAAGCAATATAGTTTTTTTTAAATATGCTGCACACCTCATATGGGAACATGGTAGTTGTATTAATAATAAGAATCTTCCTATCCATGCAGAGAATCAATAATTGTTTTGTCCTTGTCCCTCAGGATGACGCTGAGGACCAGACTGCATCAGATCTGGCTGTGGTTCTGTTTGAGACAGCCACGCTGCGCTCAGGCTACCAGCTGGTGGACACTAAGTCTTACGGAGACAGGATAGAGCGCATGCTTCGACTCAGCATGAATGTACCTCTGGATGAACAGGCAAGTCAATGCCAGCTGCACTGTGTGTACATTTGCATAGTAAATGTTTCTAGTTTCAGTTTCAAGTCATCTCTTCCTCCAGAGCCAGTGAACCAATCCTTATGTCTGATTTCATAAAGCAGTGTTCATGTTTTATTTGATATAAGTCAACTTTCCCTCTGTCTTTTGAACATTTTATGCAAACCCATCTTCCTCATTTTGTCCAGTCGTGTAAAAAGTTTGTTAAGTTAAAATCATGTCACTGTTCTACAGGTTGAAGAAGAACCAGAGGAGGAGCCGGAGGAGCCAGAGGAGGAGCAAACTGAGGACGACGCTGAAGATAAAGATGAAATTGTAGATGAGGATGATGATGAAGAAACGGTGAGAGCACTTAAATAAGTTCCGGCATGTTTAAAATGCAAAGAATTCATATTCTGGAATATTTACTCATCGCTTTGATTTTCTTCCTCTGCAGACAAAATCTGACAAAGATGAACTGTGAAGCACTGAATGAAGAGCGCGTTAACAATGGAGCTGGACACTTTCTCCAGGGCCATTGTGGTCGTTATCCTGGGAGGGGAACTTGGGTTGGGTTTTTTTAAGGGCGGGCGTTGTTTGTTTGTTTTTTTATTTTACATTCCTCATGACTGTAAATTTGTTAATATTTAACTGACTTGTTTATGGAAAGATGCGATCCTGTCTCTTGATCAAATAAATATCTCCTGGAAAAAGGAGCAACAGTTTTTCTTTTTTTTTTGTGAAACGCACTGTAGGTAAACGATTTGACTTGGAAGTGTAGATGACATGTTTTCAGAAGTAAATACAGAAATAGCAACATTTCTGTCAATCAAAAGCATAATAAGATGATCACAAACCCTAGAGACCAAATCAGTGTTTTCAGATTGCGAAAATATTGCAAAAATCAATCAAAATGCTGAGGGTAATTCTATAAAATCTACCCAGGTAGGAAGCTGTTTCTTGGTTATGACAGTTTATCTTTTCTGCCAGGGATTATTGTATATACTGTAAAAACCATGAGTAAACAAGCGATTGACATTTCATCTAAATCTGCTGCGATGCGTCCTCAAACTAAATTATCATTTGTCACAATCATCATTGCTAAGTTAGGATAGAAATGTCTGCACAACCTCAGTCCACTACACCATACACCTTGTGTTACCCTGACAACGAACATGTTCAGCCTTGATGTTTGGTTCACTGTTTCTGAAGGGTACTATCTGCTGTCCAGCTAGACAGCTGGTCCACTGCTGTACGTACCTACGCAAGACCAATAAAAAGCAAAGCTGTAATTGTGGAAGAAACTGGATGAATTATTTTATATTTAGCTGTGGTATGTTTTCTTGTTGCTCTTCAATTTCACACCTTTGCAGATTCAGAAACAGAACAGAAAGATCTTGTTTACTTGCCTATCTTTTTCAAAAATTATGAAAGAAAACTATCATCAAAACTAACTCTATTTAGATCAGTGAACTGTTAGGGTTATTGTTGTCACAGGTAATCGTCCTGAGTACAATGTTAACTGCATGGTTGACATTTCCCATCAGCAGCATCTGTGTGGGTTGGTGTCAATTCTGACATCCGATAAATTATATTGAATGAGTAGCTCCGGTTCAGTAGGACTTACTGCTGTTGAAACCTTTTGCAACAAAATTCGAAGAAGAATAAACATTTCCACCAGCCAGAGTGAGGTTTCACATTACATTTCTTGTGTAATATGCCGCAGGGTAAAAATGTAAAGATTGCTTGGTATGTCCTGAAGACACCGTCTCTCACATTGATCTAATGCATGTTTCCTTATAGTGCATGTTTCCTTATAGAGCAACTTTGATAAGGTCCTATGTGTTGATCATTCTGGTGTATACTAATATCAGACGTTAATCAGAATTGATCATGTAAAGACAAAATAAATTGTAATGTAACAAGATTTTACAATACCATGCCATGTCCAGCAGGTGGCACAATCACTCCTTGAAAATATGAATGGCACAAAAAGATTAGTGTCAGTGTGTCACTTTCAACAGAATCTGAATTGGCAGAGGAGTTAAATATGCAGAAGAAATTTAGTGGCACAATTGTTTCTAAAATATCAGATTTTTTCACTTTTTTTCAGGTGCAATACCAGTTTTACAGTTTCTGATGAAATGTAATTTTTTTCATAGTAGTTCACAATATTCAGCCATGGGTCCTGTCACTTTGCAAGCTGTAGTATGTAGCGCTACTGGCTTTACAAACGTTTTTTTTCAAAAGAAAGAAAGTGACAGTTTTTGTTTGACTGTTGGATTAGATTACATTCAATGAGCTGGGTGTGTCTAAACACTGTCATCAGCATGTCAAATACTGTAGATTTAATGTCTTGTTATAATATGGAAATACTGAGCCTTATTCCACATATTAACGGAGAGCATTACTAAACCACATCACATGACCTATCGTGTTTTCCTGCATCCTAAAGATGATTCACTTTATTTTGAAGTGTAGTAATTGCAAAGCTTAAAGCTCCATTGGTCTGTTGAGAAGCAGAAAGCAGAAACAATGTTCAGGATCTACAGCTGATGCACTGCTGTGTTTGTTCCCTATAATAACTGTCTCTAATCTCTTCTTACACTCGATGGGTGGGGTTGTAGCCTACTGTACAGGTCCAGATAAAGTCCCTGTGTGTGACTGTTCACTGTGGAAATGTGCAGTTTTGAATTAAGAGTTTGAGAAATATTTGCAAAGGTCACTCTGTGGACGAGGCATACGTTTGCCTGAATGAGAAAATGTTGAGCCTTCTTAATAAAGGGTGACAGATATGGGACACAGCAGGGGGAGGGGTCTCATAGCTGAGCCACAGAGCCACAGAGGCACAGAGGATTGATATTAATAGTAGAT